CTCAAGACTAGGTCATTATTTTTAATAATTATTGATCTTACATATTTTCATACGAATGCAGACGTGTATGATTTATATTTTCAAATGTTCTATGTTTTAGAGGTCTAATTCATAGGTCTTCCTTGTCGGAAGGGTGGTCCATGATATTTCTTGGAAGCGATCGTTCCGTGGCTCTTCGTACTCAGCGATTTTTATACGAGAAATATAAGCAACGACCAGTTCAAGTTCAAACTTACGTTACATTCAAGTAAACAATCTATCATGAGTCATGAAGCAGTAGTACTAAAGTTGAAACAAATTAAATTTTTACAGTAATCAATTTATTTTTTTATTAACAGATCTCTTTTCTCGGCTTTGGCAGCTATTGTTTTGGGTTTAATATTTGCAGTACTGGCTAGATGGGAATGCGGTCGCAATTTATTGCTAAAGGTATGTTATAATTTTTATTTCATATCTTAATACGTCTGACGAATATTAAATAAAAATAATATTTTCGTTTGTCTAGTATCCTACGATTTTCTCCGGTGGTTACGTGAGTCACGAGGGCGGTAAACCGGAGGATCTGGAGAATTGTCACTTTTCCATTACATTTAAAGCAGAAGGATGGTCCGAGAAATTAGCTGAATGTACTGATAAACATGAGAATTCGCCGAACAAAGTACTAATTACTAAAGTTAGTGGTACTGATCCTGGATATGGTGCTACATGCTCTATGCTACTGCTCTCTGCTGTGATGATCCTTAAGGAGTCCAATAAAATCCCTGGAAAGTACGTTTGCACACGTTTGCGTTTCAGATTCGAATATGTACTATTTTTTTAAGGATGTATTTGATACAATATTTTATGCTTTCACTGTTTCAGTGGTGGAGTACTATCTCCTGGAGCTGCATTCGGTAAAACATCATTGATTGAAGAATTAAACAAAAGGGATGTAAGGTTCGAGGTTGTTTCCTCTCTCCAAAAGTAATATTTGTGCTATATTTGGGCATAAAACTTTGCTTTGGGATTGAAGTGTTGGGTGAAATATTGCATTTTTTTGTCTTTTATCTGCATTTAAACTTTATACTGCTATTTTCAATATTTCAAGTAATCAATAATCCAGATAAATATTTTTTATAGAGATATTCTTATTCATACACGCACACATAAGATGATTTCTAATAACA